GGGTCCAACTGCGTGGTGGATATATGAACCACTCCGTGGCAAAATGGATCCCACTGAAGAGAGTACCACAGTGTAGCAATAACATATGTGGGCCCAACTGCGTGGTGGATATATGGACCACTCCGTGGCAAAATGGATCCCACTGAAAAGAGTACCACAGTGTAGCATTAACATATGTGGGCCCAACTGCGTGGTGGATATATGGACCACTCCGTGGCAAAATGGACCCCACTGAAATGAGTACCACAGTATAGCAATAACATATGTGGGTCCAACTGCGTGGTGGATATATGAACCACTCCGTGGCAAAATGGATCCCCCTAAAGAGAGTACCACAGTGTAGCAATAACATATGTGGGCCCAACTGCGTGGTGGATATATGGACCACTCCGTGGCAAAATGGACCCCACTGAAATGAGTACCACAGTATAGCAATAACATATGTGGGTCACTCCGTGGCAAAATGGACCCCACTGAAATGAGTACCAAAGTATAGCAATAACAAATGTCGGTCCAACTGCGTGGTGGATATATGGACCACTCCGTGGCAAAATGGATCCCACTGAAAAGAGTACCACAGTATAGCAATAACATATTTGGGTCCAACTGCGTGGTGGATATATGGACCACTCCGTGGCAAAATGGACCCCACTGAAAGGAGTACCACAGTATAGCAATAACATATGTGGGTCCAACTGCGTGGTGGATATATGGACCACTCCGTGGCAAAATGGACCCCGCTGAAATGAGTACTACAGTATAGCAATAACATATGTTGGCCCAACTGCGTGGTGGATATATGGACCACTCCGTGGCAAAATGGACCCCACTGAAATGAGTAGCACAGTATAGCAATAACATATGTGGGTCCAACTGCGTGGTGGATATATGGACCACTCCGTGGCAAAATGGACCCCACTGAAATGAGTACCACAGTGTAGCAATAACATATCTGGGTCCAACTGCGTGGTGGATATATGGACCACTCCGTGGCAAAATGGACCCCACTGAAATGAGTACCACAGTATAGCAATAACATATGTGGGCCCAACTGCGTGGTGGATATATGGACCACTTCGTGGCAAAATGGACCCCACTGAAATGAGTACTACAGTAAAGCAATAACATATGTGGATCCAACTGACAAAATGGATCCAACTGAAAAAAGTACCACAGTGTAGCAATAACATATGTGGGTCACTCCGTGGCAAAATGGACCCCACTGAAATGAGTACCAAAGTATAGCAATAACAAATGTCGGTCCAACTGCGTGGTGGATATATGGACCACTCCGTGGCAAAATGGACCCCACTGAAATGAGTACCACAGTATAGAAATAACATATGTGGGTCACTCCGTGGCAAAATGGACCCCACTGAAATGAGTACCAAAGTATAGCAATTAAAAATGTCGGGCCAACTGCGTGGTAGATATATGGACCACTCCGTGGCAAAATGGATCCCACTGAAAAGATTACCACAGTGTAGCAATAACATATCTGGGTCCAACTGCGTGGTGGATATATGGACCACTCCGTGGCAAAATGGACCGCACTGAAATGAGTACCACAGTATAGCAATAACATATGTGGGCCCAACTGCGTGGTGGATATATGTACCACTCCGTGGCAAAATGGATCCCACTGGAAAGAGTACCACAGTGTAGCAATAACATATGTGGGCCCAACTGTGTGGTGGATATATGGACCACTCCGTGGCAAAATGGACCCCACTGAAATGAGTACCACAGTATAGCAATAACATATGTGGGTCACTCCGTGGCAAAATGGACCCCACTGAAATGAGTACCAAAGTATAGCAATAACAAATGTCGGTCCAACTGCGTGGTGGATATATGGACCACTCCGTGGCAAAATGGATCCCACTGAAAAGAGTACCACAGTATAGCAATAACATATTTGGGTCCAACTGCGTGGTGGATATATGGACCACTCCGTGGCAAAATGGACCCCACTGAAAGGAGTACCACAGTATAGCAATAACATATGTGGGTCCAACTGCGTGGTGGATATATGGACCACTCCGTGGCAAAATGGACCCCGCTGAAATGAGTACTACAGTATAGCAATAACATATGTTGGCCCAACTGCGTGGTGGATATATGGACCACTCCGTGGCAAAATGGACCCCACTGAAATGAGTACCACAGTGTAGCAATAACATATCTGGGTCCAACTGCGTGGTGGATATATGGACCACTCCGTGGCAAAATGGACCCTAATGAAATGAGTACCACAGTATAGCAATAACATATGTGGGCCCAACTGCGTGGTGGATATATGGACCACTCCGTGGCAAAATAGACCCCTCTGAAATGAGTACTACAGTAAAGCAATAACATATGTGGGTCCAACTGCGTTGTGGATGTATGGACCACTCCGTGGCACAATGGACTCCACTGAAATGAGTACCACAGTATAGCAATAACATATGTGGGTCCAACTGCGTGGTGGATATATGGACCACTCCGTGGCAAAATGGACCCCACTGAAATGAGTACCACAGTATAGCAATAACATATGTGGGTCCAACTGCGTGGTGGATATATCGTCGCGGACTTTACGAACCGGCGAATAGTCAAATTTCAATGAAATTTTCAATTTTGTAATTTTTACATATTTTGATAGTGCTTACAAGGATGTATCAAAATGCCAAATTTCAGGACATAAAAGTGAATATTACTGAAATTATCAATGTTTTTGTATATTGACCATGTCCTAAATTTACCAAAAGTGAAAAAAGGGGTTTTACGAACCGGCGAATAAAACATTCGTCGGTTCGTAAAAACCGATGGGATGCGCGGCGCTGTAGTGTACTATGCGTTATCGACTACACTTAACTAGAAAAACTCGCGGGTTTTACGAAGCGACGAAAATACAGTATTTCGTTACTGTATCGTCTGCAGAGCCTGAAACATTTTTATTATTTTCTGTTATTTCATCGGAATTGCCTGGAATAAGTTCGTCATTGTAAAAAAGGTGAGCTTTAAATGATTATGTCACATTATTATAGTTTTGATTAACCTCACATTCCAAATTTCAACACTATTAAGACTTAAATATAATATTTTCTTCGCTGATTGAAACAATGTTTGTAGCATGGTCCCAGATGCCTTAATTTATGTTAGTAGGTGCAAGCAATCGGCGCTAATGCTGTTTCGCATCGACATCCGGCGACAGATTAATTACTTAACTTAGGGTTAAGTTTAGATATATAGATCTAAGTTTACGGTTAGGGTAAGGGTAACCTTACGTTACATTAGGTAGCCTTATGTAATCTTAACTCTAACCCTAACTTAGATCTAGATCTAACTTGGATCTATTCTAAGTTTGAAGTTCAAGTCTGAGCCTGGCCTGGGGCCGCCGATTTTTCTAGAAATACAATTTTACATTGTTTTTTGTATGGATCTAACGTTAGACTAAGGTTAAAAGTGTTAAGTTAGTTAGATTCTAAGTAGATCTAGCGTTAGTCTAGATCTAATAGAATAAACAAATAGGGTCTATGTCAAGACTCAAGTCCTAGATCTAACTGTTACTCAAGTTCGATCTAGTTTAGCCTAAGTTAGACTCTAGAGTCTACTTGAGTTAAGTTTAAGCCAGGGCAAGGGACAGGAGATGGATGTAACGTTAACATTAACAGTTACTCACGTAGATCTAACGTTAGATCTATGTTAACTTAACATCTACCAAAGATCCTAGATCTACATCTATGACAAAATGGCATGGGTGAATTCAATTTAATTTGAAATATTTAAAAGAGGGCGATTGACTAACAAAAGTTAGGGTTTAAATCTAACTTAGAGCTAGATCATCTAGTGCAACCTAACATAGATTCCAGATGAACAATAATCTAACGTTAAATCTAAGTTAGATCTAAGTTAGCTTCGTTGGTCAAAGTACTGTGAATAGATTTAGATCTTACTAACTAACGTTAGATCTTTATCTAATTTAGATCTGTTAGATCTAACTGTTAAGTTAGTTCCCGCTTAAAATTTAATATCATAGATAGATTTACAACAATAACATCGAGACATTTAAGTTAAATGTCGATGTTGTATCGACGTTGTATCTAATAAAAAGAATTGTATCTATTTGCTTGGAGATCTGATCTAATTTATTTTAAGTAAGACCCAGACTATAGATCTAGAAAGTTAAACCTCTACGGGCTCTAGATCTATGAGACTCTGGTCTATTTTTTTTTTTATTTCAAGTGATTTTTTTGTGACATAGATCTAGTCATAGATCTAACGTTAGATGTATGGTCAACTCTTGCCTTGGTAAAATGTCAGGGGCCCGTTTCATAAAGCATTTACCGCAGCGGTAAGTCCCATTTTCAGCGGTAAATTCCAGTTTCAGCGGTAAATTTGGAAGCAGCGGTAACTTTCCGTTTCATAAAACTTTACCGCTGAAAAAAGCAGCGGTAAGTGGTCATACCAACGGTAACAGTTACCGCAGCTCCATGAGGTGCGGTAAGTGTTGTTATTGCTATGTTTTTTCATAGACCTGTGTACAAAAGTGTTCAAATAAAGCAATTTTTTTCATTTCCCATAGGCTGGTGTACAAATTTAGTATATTCTGCCATTCTTTTCACTAATTTCATATTATTCAACATTCATGCCATCCAAACCTCAATCTGACAATACAGGGAAACATTCCCTATGTCATTAAGTTCACAGCAATCCATCTTGCTTCGCTCCTTGAAAACAAGCCATCTTCATTGGAATTCACATCCTGAATTCCAATGAAGATAGACACTTCACTTGCATTGTACATAAAAATATCCATTCACTGATCTCCACACAAAGAACTATACTGAAATGATGACAATATTTAACAGATCAATTTGTTATGCTTTGGATTTTAATTCATTTGATCCCTTCCTTGAAGGGTTAACGGAATAGCAGAGGGGGGGGGGGTTCCTTTGGGACAAAGTTTCTTATCAAATTTAGAAGCTTAACCCTACCTTAAGGTTAACACCAGTTACATAAATCAATGCTTCAACAAGTGTTTGTTACGATTTGTTCAAGCATGACTGGTCGAGTTTTGTGCAGTAGTTCTACAATCCATTAATTTAGTACATGTATATTGCAAGTAGTCCACAGTCAGGAGGGTCACAAACTCCTCTACCGCCACTGTCTCATCTTGATTCCTGAAGAGCCATGTCTGATTAGTGATGAACTTGAGAGAAGTATCCAGTATCCACATTGTTTTGGAGTTGGGTGCTCCTTCAGCTGACTGCTCCTCTTTAACTACTGAAGACAAGCCCACTTGCATCTTTGTAACCAATTCTGACAAGCTGGCTGTTCATGAACAAAAGATTAGTTGAAGAAAAAGAAGAAAAAAAATCAAATATTGTACAAGCACTTTAAGATGTAAAGCTAACATCATCAGTCTATTTCTTCTCCTTTTTGTTCTTCTGCTTCTTCTAGTAATCTTCAAAAGGCTATTAGTTTTATATAATGTTGCAAAATTGTTTTCGATTTTCTGATGGTATAACTCTATTATCAAATAAACATTTACTTTACTTAAAGAGAACTGTTGCTGAGCTAGCGCCATGAGTGTACCTGGACGGTGTGTGCGCTCTATAAGTTTACACTATTATTATTATTATCATTAACATACTGTTTGCTCGACAGGAATACATTCCTATATTTCGTGCTTTTTTGTCATGATTTTTTTGTTAACAAAAATATTTATCACACTTCTGGGGCGACTACCTCCAGGATATAGCCATATGCGATAATAAGGCCTTGTATTGATGGGCTGACTGCCTGCCCCCCCCCCCCCCAAAAAAAAAAAAAAAAAAAAGAGAAAAAAAACAAACAATAATAATGATAATAATAAAATAAATAAATAATTAATTAAAAAATAAATAATTTAATTAATAACAATTTTAGTTCTAAAAATCAATAACAACAAATTCCTATATAGGAGTATGAAAAAGGAGATTAAATCGTTTTCTGTCGCCTTTCTTAATCACTAAACCAAATGTTGATTGTAGGTTACTGTTGTCTAGAGAATATATTGTGAAAGTGGGATGGGTTGCAGGAAACATGGATGGGTTGGTTGACAATTGCAACTGAAAGTTCATGCTCTTCTATTGGGCAAACTTACTTCAGACACTGTCATCTGGTCTCTGAGCTTTAGACAGCAAGGTCCTTGTCTTGTCTACCATATCATCATGAGCTTTTGCATTACATGTACAGGCACCTGTTTGTACAGAGACATACAATGAGTTCACTTTTATGGCATGTTCATGAAAGCAGTGTAAAATAATAATTATAAAGTGAACAGCAGGGTATGATTTTGCAGAAATTTTAGAACTTGAAGTAAAGGTGTAATAAAATATCAACTTTGAACAATACCAGTACCGGACTACCGGTATGTAGAAAGGGATTTAGGGTTACCTAACTTTGGGTCCGGAATGTTTAAATACATTTATGTTTTGCAATAGATCCAGGATTAAGGTTAAGAATTAATTTTGTGTTTAGCATAACCATGCAGTAAACAATTGTCAATGTCGTAAAAATCGCTTACTTCTTTCAATTGGTAATACAGTGCTACAATACATGTTTCACAAACTGCAGGTCAGTGTATTATTACTTTACTAAAGCTATTGTAAATGATGGAAAGAAGTCTTGTATACTATTTCCCCTTCCACTCTTCATCATGTTTAAGCTGCTATCACAATGCAGATGATGAGCAACATACATGCAGCTTCACCAGCACCTGCAAAATTGTGTTGGGTGACACTTCATCCAGTGACCACAGCTCCACGTCAATTTCCTACACTATTTAACAAAATAATTAACATTATCCCTGGACCCAACACTCGACCAAAACCTAACTCTAAACCATCTCAATCCCAATTGCAGCCCTCGACCGAACCCTATACCTTTGACGAAATAAAGCCTGGAGCAGTCGTTGCAGGGGCAAATGTCCGTTCACTAAAAATGCCATGACAGAATCAAATCCTATGAATTTATCTCTAAATATATCCCAGATTGGTTAAAAAACATGTAATATTTATTATGAATTACCAGTCCATTGTGCTTTGCTCCTCCAAGAGGCCATCGCTTTGAGGTAAAGGGCAGAAATTCAAGGTCGGAACCTCAAGGCACCCCATGATCTTTCTACAGGAAGCCCTCCTTCTGGAACAGAATTATAAACACTTCAATAAATATTGACAAAATATGAAAGAAAATACAAATATAAGAGCATTATTAAATATTGCTTGCCATTCCTTTTCATATTATTGACCCCCCCCCCCCCCCACCTTTCTACATTAACTTCAAATATTAATTCTAAAAAGAGATACATTGGAAGTTAAAATACACTTAATGAACACTACAGCAACTTGTTACTAGACATTTTGATGCATAGCCACCCCACAGGTTTGCATCCCCACAGGTTCCTTTAGTACATGTTTCAATGAGAAACCATTTTAAAGAAGACAAATAATGTGGTCTTTATAAGACAGGTGGTCACTAAAGCAGGTTTGACTGTATATGCTTACCTTCTCTTGTGACGGTCTGTTTTCTCCAGGACATTCTTGTTTCAAGCACATTCTCAGAGGAGGCAAGCATTTGGTACTGCGACAAGTCTCAATGTACATTTTCCTGTAAAAGAGAGGGGGAATTTAATATTTAGAATGAAAACTGAGTATGACCATTTAAGTTTGATGAGCATTTGCAGAATTAACGTGTTTTAATTTGGATTTCACACAAAAAACCTCCTTCATTATAGGCCAACTAACAAAAATGGGAAGTTTCTCGTCCTTTATTTTCTATTAAAGGAGGGGGGGGGATGAATGAATAGATCATCCCCCCCCCCTGATGAATAGGTATCAGTGACAGATCGACACCCATGGAGGCAGGGCATTACTATTTACTAATTTTAAATTTTTTGATATTTTTGTCCAAGACGACGTCATGCTAAATATAGCTGGCCAAGGTATATTTATTAACAGATATTGTGCTCAGGCGCGTACGCTGGGGTTGGGAGGGTTGAACCCCCCTCAATTTTTTTTTTTGTGTTTTGGAGGAAACCCCCCCCCCCCCCCCTCAACAAAAAACAAAAAAAATTGTGCTAATGGGTGACCCCAAAAACCTGACTTACCCAGCCAGGCTTTAAATTTCAATATTTTTAGGGCAAGGCCACTTTTCTGTGGGGCACATTCCTACATTACAGCACAAATAGAAAGAATTGGAAATCTCCAACGCCAATGAGAGGGGCATTAAGGCCAATCAAAAGGGCATCCACGGCCATGGCCTTGGATTAACTTAAGCCTTTACCCCCCCCCCCCCCCCAACAGATCGAAATAGCAATCGACCAAATTTTTGGGACAAAAAAAATAATTAAAAAGGTGCTCTTACCCCCCTTCAACCCCCCCCCCCCCCCGCTTATTCAGCGACTCTCTGAGTCGTTGCGAATTTTTTTATCAAATCCTGGACCAAAAAAAATGTGCTCTTATCCCCCCCCCCCCTTTCATGTAACCAATCTTGTAAAGTAGCCCCCGAAAGTGTTTAAATATTTTTTCCCTGCTATATAGATCTACAGTAGCTTTAGTCTCTTTAGTCTTAAGACTAGACCCTACGCAAAAATTAAAGATATAGATTGATTCTAGATTAGTCTAGACAGTAGACTAGACTCGTCTCTAAAACTAAAGTCTACTCTAGTCTAGATCTACTAGTCTATTGAAATCTAGATCTAGACACTGTTTGGGTTCTTGCGGTTTACTGCAGGAGTTGCTGTTTCAATAATTAGGGGCATACTCGTGATATAGGCCCCGCAACTGTTTTGAATCGATTATAATTTTATACTAGGCTTCTAACTTCAGCCAACTCACTATAATATACTCGTGATCTAAGCCCCGCGCAACGGCATCGCGCGCACTTCAACACAGCAGCGGGGCCTGTATCACGACTATACTATATACTCGTTATATAGGCCCCGCGCTACGGCATCGCGCACAATTCAACACAGCAGCGGGGCCTGTATCACGAGTATATATTAGCGAGTCTGCTATTCAACTCGCTATATTATACTCGTGATATAGGCCCCGCGCAACGGCGTTGCATGTTCTACAACACGGACATGGGGCCTGTATCACGACTATACTGTATACTCGTGAACAAGGCCCCATCCTATGCATTTTCAAGACGGACAGCACGGTAGTGGGGCTTCTTTCACCTAAGTATAATTTAGGGGGTGTTTTGAGGTTTAATAAATAGAGCTAGCAAATGATTAAAAAGGGTTACATTTAAATGATTAAATTTATCTTTTAGACCCTATTTTAATATTTTTCCTTTTTTAATATTTTACCTTCTTAAAGTTAAATATTTTTCCTTTTTTAATATTTTTCCTTTTTAATATTTCGTTTTTTCCCCTCATATTATGGCCCCCTCTCTTTGAATTTATCTTTAATTTGATTTTTTTTTTTTTTTTTTTTTTTTGGGGGGGGGGGGCCCCCCGCCCCCCTCTCTTTAAATTTATCTTTTATTTTTAGTTAAATATTTTTCCTTTTTTAATTTTTTTTTGGGGGGCCCGCCCCCCCCCCCCCTCCTCCTAATTATTATTTAAAAAATAAGTCCCTTTCAACCCCCTATTTAACTCACTTTTATCTCCCTTTTATTGCTGTCCGTCATGAAAATGTTGGCTGAAGCAGACTGAAGTTAGAAGTCTAAGATGATTTGTAATCGATTACAAGACGGGTCAGTTGCGGGGCCTATTTCACGATATTGCCTAATTAGGATTAAATAGAACTGTAATTTTCAGTTCTAAATTTATTAAATCCGACACTAAGCTCAGCCAGCTCAGTCAACCCCGACAGCTGACAGCTCAGTCACTCCAGACAACAGCATCGGATGACGGTAGGACTGATGCAAAAGTGCCCGCCACCAGTCCGGGCGTTACACTCAGCTCCCGCTCTCGGTTTGAGCGCATGAAATTTGACAAACACTCGCATGCGAGCTCTCATAATCAATCTTTGTTTAACCGCTGGAAAAGTATTTAAATATAAATAAGCACACAGATGTCGAGTTATGAATATAATTCTTCGTATTATGGATTAAATATGACATGTACTTACGGGATTTCTATGAAAAAACATTTCAAGCGGCGAAGTTGTGTTCATTGTCACGGTGATTGCAGACGACGACAAAGCACAATGGAGCCATTGCGCACGCGCATAATCGTAATGATCGTTTCTTAAACGATCACTTTGTTATTAGTTTTATGAAACGTATTTTCACTTCAATAACAAGCTACGATAGTCGTAATCAGATTTGTCATAGATACCAGATTTGTTATAGTCGTAAGTAAAAAGCTTTATGAAACACCCCCCAGGTTTAACTGTTATGTTGTGATTTTTTTTTCTTTCTGCTGTTCCCTTATTTTCAGAAATGGATGTGTTGGTAAAGTGGAAGAAAGATGGGAGCCAGAATATTGTCAGTGCTGAAGACCTGCATCTGGATGGGAAGCGCTCAATTAAGGAGGGTGCAACTGTTCAGATGAGGGGGAAGTATTCTTGGTGGAAAGGGAAGGTCATCTCCATATTTCAGAGAATTGGTAAGATTATTAGTATGAATAATTCTTTTGTATTAGAAAAAATATGAAATTGATATGAAAATCAATTGCGAAAGGTAAGATGATTTAAAATACCATGAAAACAGATTTATTTTCCATAAACAATTTATATGAAAAAGAATTGACAGTGTGAGAGAATGAAGTATAGTAATTAGGATTAATGTCAAGTGATACTACGAATGGTGATGACCCAATATCTGATGACGATACATCATTTACCACAATGACTGGGAACAAATCATTTTTAGCTCCAATTTGATTATGGTTTATAAATAAGAAGGACAGCACATGTTAATAATAAAAAAAAAGGATAGGAATGTATTAAATGAAATATGTATGATATACATTATTAGGATTTTTATTGATTTACATTATTTTACATTCACAGTGCCAGAACGAAATCAAGGTCCCATAGGTCCAAGTGACTCTACTGGAGTGCTTCCACAAGGTCCCAAGGACTCTGCAAATGACGGTGAGGACGAAGATGATCTTCCTCTGACAATGCTTGGTACGAAACATTCTTATCTTCAATTTGATTATTGTTTCAAGCCTCAAACAAGAAGGATAGCACAAATTAATCACAAAAAGAAAAGGAAAAAGAGAAATGTATAAAATGAAATATCTGAAAACTTAACATCTTTAGGACTTCGATTTACATTATTTTACATTCACAGAGCCAAAACAAAATCGAGGTCCCATAGGTCCAAGTGGTTCTACTGGAGTGCTCCCACAAGGTCCCGGGGACTCTGCAAATGACGATAAGGATGAGGATGATCTTCCTCTGACAATGCTTGGTAAGAAACTTTCTTATTTTCAATTTGATTATTGTTTCAAGTCTCAAGTAAGAAGGATAGCACAAATTAATCACAAAAAGAAAAGAAAAGATAAACGTATGAAATGAAAAATCTGAATGATAAACATCTATGGGACTTTGATTTACAATATTATACATTCACAGTGCCAGAACAAAATCGAGGTCCCATAGGTCCAAGTGGTTCTACTGGAGTGCTCTCACAAGGTCCCAGGGACTCTGCAAATGACGATAAGGATGAGGATGATCTTCCTCTGACAATGCTTGGTAAGAAACTTTCTTATTTTCAATTTGATTATTGTTTCAAGTCTCAATTAAGAAGGATAGCACAGATGAATCACGAAAAAAAGGAAAGAAGAGAAACGTATGAATTGAAATATCTGAATGATTAACATCTAGGGACTTTGATTTACAATATTCTACATTCACAGTGCCAGAACGAAATCAAGGTCCCATAGGTCCAATAGGTTCAACTGGAGTGCTCTCACAATGTCCCAGGGACTCTGCAAATGACGATGAGGACGAAGATGATCTTTCTCTGACAATGCTTGGTAAGAAACGTTCTTATTTTCAATTTGATTATAGTTTCAAGCCTCAAATAAGGAAAGCATAGATGAATCGCAACAACAAAAAAAGAAAGAAGCGAAATGTATGAAATGAAATATCTGAATGATTAACATCTATGGGACTTTGCTTTACAATATTCTACATTCACAGTGCCAGAACGAAATCAAGGTCCCTTATGTCCAATTGGTTCAAGTAGAGTGCTCTCACAAGGTCCCAGGGACTCTGCAAATGTTGTTGAGGACGAAGATGATCTTCCTCTGACAATGCTTGGTAAGAAACGTTCTTATTTTCAATTTGGTTATTGTTTCAAGCCTCAAATAAGAAGGATAGCACAGAGGAAAATTTACCCCCAAAAAAGAGAGAAAATGTATGATATGAAATATCTGAAAGATTAACATCTTTAGGACTTTGATTTACATTATTTTACATTCACAGTGCAAAAACGAAATCAAGGTCTCATAGGTCCAAGTGATTCTACTGGAGTGCTCCAAAAAGGTCCCAGGGACTCTGCAAATGACGGTGAGGACGAAGATGATCTTTCTCTGACAATGCTTATTAAGAAACGTACTTATTTTCAATTTGATTATAGTTTCAAGCCTCAAATAAGAAGGATAGCATAGGAAGTATTCTTGGTGGAAAGGGACGGTCATCTCCATATTTCAGAGAATTGGTGAAAGTATTAGTATGAATAATTCTTTTGTATTAGACAAAATATGAAATTAATATGAAAATCAGTTGCGAAAGGTAAGATGATTTAAAATACCATGAAAACAGATCTATTTTCCAAAAACAATTTATATGAAAAAGAATTGACAGTGTGAGAGAATGAAGTATAGTAATTAGGATTAATGTCAAGTGATGCTACGAATGGTGATGACCCAATTTCTGATGACGATACATCATTTACCACAATGACTGGGAACAAATCATTTTTAGCTCCAATTTGATTATTGTTTATAAATAAGAAGGATAGCACATGTTAATAAAAATAAAAAAAGGATAGGAATGTATTAAATGAAATATGTATGATATACATATACATTCACAGTGCCAGAACGAAATCAAGGTCCCATAGGTCCAAGTGATTCTACTGGAGTGCTCCCACAAGGTCCCAAGGACTCTGCAAATGACGGTGAGGACGAAGATGATCTTCCTCTGACAATGCTTGGTAAGAAACGTTCTTATTTTCAATTTGATAAGAGTTTCAAGCCTCAAATAAGAAGGATAGCACAGATGAATCACACAAAAAAAGGAAAAAGAGAAATGTATAAAATGAAATATCTGAAAACTTAACATTTTTAGGACTTTGATTTACATTATTTTACATTCACAGAGCCAAAACAAAATCGAGGTCCCATAGCTAGTTCAAGTGGTTCTACTGGAGTGCTACCACAAGGTCCCGGGGACTCTGCAAATGATGGTGAGGACGAAGATGATCTTCCTCTGACAATGCTTGGTAAGAAACGTTCTTATTTTCAATTTGGTTATTATTTCAAGCCTCAAATAAGAGGGATAGCACAGAGGAAAATTTACCCCCCCCCAAAAAAAAAAGAGAAAATGTATGATATGAAATATCTGAAAGATTAACATCTTTAGGACTTTGATTTACATTATTTTACATTCACAGTGCAAAAACGAAATCAAGGTCCCATAGGTCCAAGTGATTCTACTGGAGTGCTCCAAAAAGGTCCCAGGGACTCTGCAAATGTTGTTGAGGACGAAGATGATCTTCCTTTGACAATACTTGGTAAGAAACGTTCTTATTTTCAATTTGATTATTGTTTCAAGCCTCAAATAAGAAGGATAGCACAGATGAATCACAAAAAAAAAGAAAAAGAAAAAAAAATCATTGAAATGAAATTAGTTATAGGTCCACAAATATGCTTTGAAACAGAATGCTATCACTGCAGTCACATAATAGGATTGTGTTCGATAGTGTGTGACAGCAGTGAAAGCATTTTCTCAGTCTTTCATCGTCTTACAAAAACTGGCAAAAACTTTCTTTTTTACCCGTCACCTTCACTTGCAATGTACTCAGTTATGCGTGACATTTATGATGCAGGGAAAGTATCATTGCAAAGGTGAGAAGTTCCTCCTTAATTATGTTACATTTAAATTGCCAGAATAAATGAGCTTGGAATATGGCCCCTGAAAAATTGGACTATCTTTATTATGATACGCACTTTTATATATATATATTACATATTGCAGAGATGATAGAGAGCTTTTTACTCAGATTTGGACATGACAAATATGAGCTCTTGAAAAAATGTTTTACTCTTTTAATTTCACATGGCCAGTTATATAATGAGATTGATATGTTTGTGATTACAGAGTTATCACAAGATCTGATTGAACTTGAGACATTTATGTCTATACCAGACATGCTAGGTGATGATGACGCCAGCCAGGATGACGCCATGTCAGTTGATACAGAATCAGACACAGGTAAATGGATATACTGGGGAAAACCATAAATGTGTGTCATGTATGAATAATCAATTATCATCAAACCTTACTATACAATCTGCATATAGTGTGTAAAGATTCAGGCAAGTACTTTTGATAATTAATAAGCACCAGATTGATTTTCATTTGTTAACAACTGAATATCATTGCTTTATTAGTGAAGTATTAATGTGCATTTTGATACTTTGTTCAATGGTTTTAATTTATTGCATTTCTATCTTTGCAAACACCTTTCATCTTGTTCACATTTTAAAAATCTTATATTTGTTTTAAAGATCTCCAAGTTATCGAGTCTTTGGGGGAAGTTGACAAGCATCCCGGTGACCAGTGTTGCGGCAGTCTGCATTGCAAAGGTAATGTGTTTGCAGCATGCATCAGGTGTCAGACTTTGATGTGTTTTGAACACTTTGACAAAGGAGAAGAGTGTAAATTTCATGCTCAATTTGAAAGGGAAAACCCCCCTGAAAGTTTTGTCATAGAGGAATCAGTTGGAAATGACATCAATCCTTTGTTGGATACATCCCAAAATGTACCAGTCAAGACTCCTAAGTCAAAAAATCGCCTTGTTAAAGATGCTAGGAACAAAGGTAAATCCTATTTCTCTGAAAAATCTGACAAGTTTGTGGGAGGGCGAAAATTTGTAGAGTACAACAAGTGTGACTTGTCACGAAATCACAAAAAGGTTTCATGTGGTATCTTCACTGAGGAAGACAGGCGTGAAATAAGGTATGACTATTATGGAATGGGCAATCTAGCTCTGCAGAGAGAATGGATTGCACGACATGTATCTCACAAGGCCCATTCACATGTGAAAAGTCGTAAGAAACAGACAATGAGGTATACTCTTCCTCGACCTTCTTCATTTTCTTATCCTGGAGAAATTGTCACTGTTTGTCGTAAGATGTTCCTGAACACTTTGGGAATTGCCGAAAGGCAAGTGCGAACTGTACTTGGAAAAACAAAATCTGGCACTGGTGTCCTGGGGAGGGAAAGAAGAGGTGGGACACAGAAACCTCAAATCCAAAAGCGACAAAAAATCATTGAACACCTACAGTGCTTCCCACGAGTGGAGTCTCATTACTGTCGCTCTTCCACAACATGCCAGTATCTTTCTGGGGAACTGACAAAACGAAGGATGTTCAATATGTTTGAAAATGAAAACCCAGGGTGTGCCTCTTACTCCCTGTACAAAGAGGTTATGAGAGAGCTCAAACTCAAATTTCATCGACCCAAAAAGGACAAGTGTGGGATTTGTGAAACTTTCCGCAAGTCTAATGAGGTTGAAAGAGACCAGATGAAAGTGAAATACAACATGCACAGACAAGAAATTTCAAAAGTAAGACAGATAAAGTCAGAGAGCAAAACTCGTGCCCAGCATGATGACAAGCATGCTGCTGCTGTGTTTGATCTGCAGCAAAACATGTACTTACCAAAATCAAATAGGGGTGAGTTGTTCTACAAGAGAAGATTAGCATGCTACAATTTTACTATTTACAATTTGGCTAATCATGCAGGAAGTTGTTACCTTTCAAATGAAACAGTAACAAGAAGGGGAGCTTGTGAGGTATCGACATACGTCCTTGACTACTTCAGCAATTGTGATAAGGAAGGAAAGACGTCAGTTGACTTCTTTTGTGATGGCTGTGTTGGCCAAAACAAAAACTCAATTGTCCCATCGATGGTACATAGGTTTGTATCCGAGGCCAAAAGTGTGCAAGTGGTAACATTCTACTACTTTGAAACCAATCATGGCCAGAGCGAGGGTGATAGCATGCATTCCACCATTGAAAAATGTCTTGCTCGCTCTGAAGAAGTTTTCCATCCTTGCCAGCTCTCTTCTATAATCAAGGAGGCAAGAAAAGATCCATGCCCATACACAGTCAGACATGTTCAAACCAATGACATTTTGGACTGGAAGACATATGGCCATAATTTAGGTATCCTGAAGTGCAGACAGGCGGATACTGGTGAGGCAATTGATTGGACGACCTTCAAGCAGATTAGAATAAGCAAAGAATTTCCTACCTCAATTCTTTTCAAAACATCACATAATACTAATGATTTCAGTATTCTTTCACTAGGCAGATCCCGCAGCCTGCGTTCTACCACTCCTGCAGTTCACATTGATCCTCCTTCCCAGCTCTACCAAAGCAGACCCAAACTATCTGCTGGGAAGTATAGCGATCTTGTCAGTCTATGCAGAGGCACATATCCTGTCATTTCCCAACCGGAACTAGTTGATTACTATATTAATCTACCTCATGAATAGATTACAGTCACTACCATGTCCACCTTTTAACTCTACTTTTTGTTTTTGTTTTTGCAGGACGAGGATCACTACCTGAGTTGGACAATCATCTACATGTATAGACTTTCGATGACTGCTGGTTTGTGTCATATGGTTTAAGGGAATGCTCTATAGATTTGTTTTGATTTGTTTTAAATTATTAATGCTTAGGCTGATGTCCAAACTAAAATTCCAATAGTATTGCAATGCAAGGCTGGAAATCATTGGATATAACTGCTTGCATAAACTTGCACACTAATATTTTGCACCTTAGCCATGTTACTAGCACAGGGCTGGAATTCTTTTACACAGTTATGGGATCTAGAGTCAACTCAGTATCACTGCTTATATTAACTATCACTGCTTTTGTCATCTTGCACACTAATATTTTTGCACTTTGGCACAGGACTACAATTCGTTGACTTGGTTATGGAGTCACAAGCCAACTTTGAAGAATTGCTCTGCCGCAAAATATACGATATTTTGAAAATACCACTGCTTATATATTAACTTGCACACTAATGTTTTGCACTTTAGTACAGGAATACAATTCGTTGACTCGGTTATGGAGTCAAAAACCAACTTTGAAAGAATTGCTCTGTAACAAAATATGCAATATTTTGAAAATAACACTGCTTATATATTAACTTGCATACTAATGTTTTGCACTTTAATTAGCACAGGACTACAATTCGTTGACTCGGTTATGGAGTCAAAAACCAACTTTGAAGAATTGCTCTGTAACAAAATATGCAATATTTTGAAAATAACACTGCTTATATATTAACTTGCACAATAATGTTTTGCACTTTAGCACAGGACTAGAATTTGTTGACTTGGTTAAGGAGTCACAAGCCAACTTTGAAGAATTGCTCTGTAACACTGCTTACATATTAACTTGCACACTAATGTTTTCCACTTTAATTAGCACAGGACTACAATTCGTTGACTCGGTTATGGAGTCAAAAGCCCACTTTTAAGAATTGCTCTGCAACAAAATATATAATTTTTTGAAAATAACACTGCTATATATTAACTTGCACACTAATGTTTTGCACTTTAGCACAGGACTAGAATTTGTTGACTCGGTTATGGAGTCACAAGCCAACTTTGAAGAATTGCTCTGTAGCAAAATATACAATATTTTGAAAATAACACTGCTTATATATTAACTTGCACACTAATGTTTTGCACTTTAGCACAGGACTACAATTCGTTGACTTGGTTATGGAGTCAAAAGCCAACTTTGAAGAATTGCTCTGTAACAAAATATACAATATTTTGAAGGAAAAAAAAACACTGCTACCCTCCCTGGTCATAAGTATTGCAACATAGCTAAAATGCATGCATTTTTATTTTTATTTTACAAACCTTTCTGTATATTGTTATATATTTTATTCATAACCATAGTGTTGTCGACAATTTGTGTATATTTTGAAAGGGAAGACTTGTCCCATTTCATTCATGAGAGCAGTAAATGATCAGACCCGGTCATTTTTTAAACAAAGGGGAGGATAACAGAACAAAGGCAAACAAACAAAAAAAAATTGGGGGGAGGTGGGGATTATCAGTGAGCGAAATCATGAAACTGTTTCATATTTCTCCCAAAACTGTTTACAGGTTTCGTTTGTATTTTTCGCAAAGAAATAATGGCCATAAGGTACCAATACAAGGGCAGAGGAAAAGGGCAACACCCAGAGAAGAAAGATTTCTTTGTGCCGTTGCTAAGGAGGATGCGCGCCAAAATCAGAGGTTGTGATTATCCAACAAAATATAATAAATGTGTGAAAATTTACTTTCAATAAACTAGTACAATATATTCACCTCTAGAAACTGACTATAATTTAATATATCGGTGGAATAAAGTTGCATTAAAACGTCTTTGCAATACAGATCTAAATCCTCCTTGGCAACGGCACAAATAAATTTGTCTTCTCTGGGTGTTGCCGTTTTCCTCTGCCCTTGTCTTGGCACCTTATGGCCATTATTTCTTTGCGACAAGTATAAACGAGACCTGTAAACAGTTTTGGGAGAAATATGAAACAGTTTCATGATTTCGTTCACTGATAATCCCCATCTCCCAAAATTTCATTTGTTTTGCCTTTGTTCATTTGTCTTCCAATTTGTTTCAGAAATGACCAGGTCTGGTCATCTACTTCTCTCAGGAATGAAAAGGGACTAGTTTTCCCTCTCAAAATATACAAAAATGGTCGACAACACTATGGTTGTGATGAATGAAATATGACAATATAAAGGCTTGTAAAATAAAAATAAAAAATGTGCGCATTTCAGCATAGTTGCAATACTTACGACCAGGGAGGGTATATATATATCCACTTGCACACTTTTGGTTACTATTGGTACAAAGTTTACAAAAAAATGACTAAAAATACTTGTAATATACCATAAGATGAACTTTTCAATTGTGCAAGAGCTGTAATAGTAGAAATGTTGCATTGAGAATAATAACTCCCTGAAACTAAAATGATTTGTTTGCACTTAAATTCAATCAAGAATCATCTATACCATTATGGCAAGTCATGAGCCTGTGTATAGGAGAAGATACAACTAACAGGTATAAAATTGGAAAAGATGTGATGTAAAAGAAGAAAGAACACCATCTATATATGTATATTATGTAAAATATTAATGCTAATAATAAAGCAAACAATTCATGAAATGTTTCATGCATCATTTTAAAGCTCTTTTCCTCTTCTTTCTTTTGACATCTAATACAATATGAAAGAGCAACGCATAGACGAGCAAGAAGAATTTGAAATTTAAATGTAGAAATCAAACTGCGCAAATCAGAGCAAAGAGAACTGCATTGGATGTCTGCAGCAAGTGAACAACTCATAATATGATAAGATTGGCTGATAAATCAATACCTTCTCTCACTGCTATTGTGAACACCAGCTATGTACATTATGTATATTATACTTATGTAAATATGTATGGTAATGTTATATCATATAGGATAGACAATTATTTTCATTGCAAAATCTGTTAAAATTCAGTATTTTACACATAATATGTAGAAAGAAGTATTGATTATTGAAATTTCAGTATATCCAATTTGATCCAAGATTTTGTGCTTGCAGTTTTTACATATATTTATGAAGATGAAATGATAAGATTGGCTGATAAATCAATATATTCTTTTACTGCTATTGTGAACACCAGCTATGTATGTATATTATATTTATGTAAATATTTATGGTAATGTTATATCATATAGGATAGACAATCATTTTCATTGCAAAATCTGTTTAGATTTAGTATTCTATCAAAAAATATGTAGAAAGAAGTATTTATTATTGAAATTTCAGTTTAACCAATTTGATCCAAGATTTTGTGCCTGCAGTTTTTACATATATTTGTGAAGATAAAATGGTACGATTGGCTGATAAATCAATATATTCTATTACTGCTATTTTGAACACCAGCTATGTATTTATATATTTATGGTAATGTTAGATCATATAGGATAGACAATTATTTTCATTGCAAAATCTGTTAAGATTCAGGATTCTTACACATAATATTTAGAAAGAAGTATTTATTATTAACATTTCAGTATAACCAATTTGATCCAAGATTTTGTGACTGCAGTTTTTACATATGTTTATGAAGATATTAAAATGATAAGATTGGCTGATAAATCAATACCTTCTCTTACTGCTATTGTGAACACCAGCTATGTACATTATGTATATTATATTTATGTAAATATTTATGATAATGTTATATCATATAGGATAGACAATTATTTTCATTGCAAAATCTGTTAAGATTCAGTATTCTTACACATAATATGTAGAAAGAAGTATTTATTATTAACATTTCAGTATAACCAATCTGATCCAAGATTTTGTGACTGCAGTTTTTACATATATTTATGAAGATAAAAGGACAAGATTGGCTGATAAATCAATACCTTCTCTTATTGCTATTGTGAACATCAGTTATGTATGTATATTTATGTAAATATTAATTTTATATCATATAGGGTAGACAATTATTTTCATTGCAGACTGTGTTAATTTTCATATCTATGCATGTAGCAATCTTACGTACAACTTGCTTTGCAATGATGTGTAACTGTCAAATATATCAGTTGTTTTAAGATTAGGTAATCCGATTTGTATTTATAATCTGCTAAATTATCTAAAGTGCATGGCAACTATGTAATGTAACATGAACAATTGCATTGTACGTTGAAGACTATTTGACGATTAAAGATAATGCGATTTATCACATGTTTGTATGTAAATTGTCTTACAGGAAAAAAAAAGTGTTTCTCGAAATATGACTTGATTTGCTGTCAATGTTGAAAATGTCAGATCACAAGAGTTAGCAAAAAGTTGGATGAAAAATAAGGAGAGGGTATGACATTATATGATTGAAAAGAGAGAGAATGGAAGAGAAACAATTATTTTGGACCTCCGGCCATCCTCAAAAAAAGGATCATTAAAAAAAAAAACCGGCCGCTCACAGATAAGCAGGGGGAGGGGGTCTTAAAAAATATTTTTTTAAAAACCCAAACAATTATAACGAAAATATAAATAGATATGCCATTGCAGGTCTTATTGTTGGGAGGACAATATCCTTCAGGGTTTTGCAAAACATGACAAAAATTGGGGGAAATGTAATTTTCCCCCATTTTGGGGGCCGCGTCCCCCTTCCCCCAACTGACAAAAATGGTGGGGTGACATTGCATGGTATGATGTCCCTACCTTAAGAAAGAAAACAAAAACGTGTCAGCCACCCCCCCCCCCCGATTGACGCCAATATCTGAATTAGCTATAGGAAACAACAAATAAACTGCAAATAACGATTTAAATGAGAAAAGTAGGCCTAATTAATGTGTGTGTTTTTTTAATTTAATTTGTTATTAAAGTTTCTAAGCATTTACCCGAAGAAAACGGTTAAATAAAAGTTTATCGAGATAAACATGAACGTGAAACTATTCGCCCCTTCGTAAAGGCCGCATTTACGTTGCAATATGCGCACGGGCAGGGCACCGAGTGGCATTACGAACTGGCGAATGCGTACATTCGTCACTTCGTAATATACATGCTTATGTGTATTGTGCGCGCAACCGTGGCTATACGTTGGACATTACGAACTGACGAATGATTTATTCGCCGCTTCGTAATGTCAGCGCTTCAGTACATAATACGCGCAAACGTATAAAACGCGTGGTATTACGAACCGGCGAATGTTGTTTACACAAGGACAGCAGGCTCGCTAGTTTAGTTTGCTATAATATTTGTAAATCACTTAAAAGAGCAACTTTTACACTCCTCACCTTTTAAATATTTTTGGATTAGGAGTAACGTAACCCCTTTTATTTGGCGATGTAGTAAGTGCAATTTTCTTCAAACGCGATTATCTCCGAATGATGTTTGCGCACTAAATATTAACATTCGCCGGTTCGTAATGTCCGCGACGATATGAACCACTCCGTGGCAAAATGGATCCCACTGAAGAGAGTACCACAGTGTAGCAATAACATATGTGGGCCCAACTGCGTGGTGGATATATGGACCACTCCGTGGCAAAATGGATCCCA